CCTCTATTATTCTACTTATTGACCTAAATACATCAGTACCCTTATAGTACGACCACCTCTATTATTCTACTTATTGACCTAAATACATCAGTACCTTTATAGTACGACTACCTCTCTATTATAGTACGACCACCTCTATATTACGGGCACTTCGTTTTGCCCTGGCTACACCGATTCACTATTATAAGACTTCCATAATACGAAATTCCCTCTACTACGGAAAATTYCTTTGGTCCTAGCACAAATTGGAGCTGCAATGTTAAGGGTATCTAAATGCTCACCGTTCTTGCGATCCTGCAGTCCAAATCAGCCGCATTCCAGTCCAATTTACAGCCCTTGTTTTTCTCAGCCTCCAAAATGTTGCCCTTACTCTTACAGCGCAACGCGCAAAAGTATGGCCACATTTAATGTTTTCGCATACTTTTATGCACGGGCTTTTGTAYGTTAAACCCACACACTTCGATGCGAAGCTGGCTGGTTTTACCAAATAATTAGGGGTGCAGACGCTCGTTTAAATACATTAAATATAGTAATACTTTTGCGCGTTGCGCTGTTTAACCAATTACCTCCAGTTTACCGTAGTATGTCCTCTTACTCACGAGGCGTAGCCAAGGGAGTTCACAAAATATTTTGGTGGCTAGATGACGAAAAAAAGTGGTAAATAAGAGGACATACCAAGGGAAACGGCAGTTTTAGTCATTTTAGCTAACACTATTGCACTGTTTTCATCGAATCACTTTGCAGTGAATGCTAGTAAAGTTGAAAGAAAACAATACTTTTATGTTGGTGAAGATGGAAGACTCACATGTAACGTCTTTGGAAGTCCACCTCCTTCGCTAGAATGGAGAAAAGATGACAAACCACTTGGGCTAGAGAAAACACTTTTGTGGAAGTATATTTTCCAAGAAGATGGAGCTTTGTTGATAAGAAATCTTAGTAGTCAAGACGTTGGGGTATATGAATGCAAATTCAAACAAAATACAGGAGAGATTATCGACCACGAACGGATAAATATACAATTGCATCTGTATGGTAGGTTTTTGCTGTTCAGGATGCGTGGTCATCACTGTCACTTTGTGCGTCTGTCATTAGTGTCTGTCTGTCTGTGACATATGTGTGGGTGTCACTATGTAGTTTTACGGTCACTTCTGTCTGTCTGTCTTTCACTTATGTGATGTGTGACGTAGTGTAACTTCTACAGATGTGTGTGTCACTCATTTAGTCTTAACGTCACTTCTGTCTGTCTGTCTTTCACTTATGTGATGTGTGACGTAGTGTAACTTCTACAGATGTGTGTGTCACTCATTTAGTCTTAACGTCACTTCTGTCTGTCTGTCTGACTGTATCCTTAAATGTATTTTTCTTTCAGAGAARCCCCATACGACTACCATTCTGAACCCGAATCGTACAGTAGTAAACGGTAAGTCAGTGTCCCTGACATGCTCCGCTAAGGGCCGTCCAGAACCAAACATCAMGTGGTATATGAATAACACAGCCATCCCAAATCATAAATACCCCAAACAACCATCATCTGGTGACCAATCCGTCGTGACGCTAAACATCCAATATGTAACCAAYGGGGATTATGGGAGATACACTTGCACGGCTCGAAATGATGCTGGCTTTGAATCGGCATTTGCGTGGATTACAGCTGACGTGACAGGTAAGAAAACTGAAGCTATAAATGGGAGGGTAAATACCATAAATCCATGAAAACGTTAATAAATAAATAAATAAATAAATAAATAAGTGTCAAGTTTCGTAGATCTACGGTCTAGTGAGGTCTACCGAACTTTAAAAATTGTGCAAATTTTTACATAGTTTTTCACGGATGTAGAGTGAACGCCATATATCCGTGAAACAATTACTCCAGCCATGTAGTGCTTAAAATGGTGATTATCTTCTCAGAATCACCAGTTGCTCGACCAATCACAGCTCGAGAAACTCTATTTTCAAGTCTAAAATTATACTAAATGGCGTTATTCTTAGACTAAGCTCCAGTAGCCTCGCTTACGGCCGTGAGCCGAACAAAACAGAGCAGAGCATAGATCGTAGGCTACAGCAGTAAGCTTTTCTTCGACAATGCATGGTTGCACGGTTATTTTAGTGGCTCCTTTGTCCTACAAGTCTTCAATAGCTTCACTGATTACCTTATTTCTCGCAGATTCGACACAATCCAGTTACTGAAAAATTAAGATGCGAAGTAGTACCCTTTCTTGTTGTGTTAGAGAATTAACCTCGAAGACGACAGCCTTAAAAAGACAATTAGAATTCATTTGCTCGTACAGTACTTTCCTTCCAAAAATTCTGTACATAAATATATGTTATGGTTTCTTAAATTCAGGTGATGTAGACCYTCCAAAAAATCAGAGCAACAGTGAGAACAACGAAAATAACCTCACCACCAAGTGGCTTTTGTTTGTTGTTTTCTTCGTTTGTCTGTTTATCATTGGTGCTCTAGGCTTGGTCGTATGGATTATTCGCAGGAAACGAAGAAAGGATACTTGCACGGCGACGATGAGGTACTAGCTTTATTGATCTTTTTACGATTTTTTGGGCGTAATGTTTTCCCATTTCAGACCATGTGTCATTCCCTAGAGCATCTTTTCTTTGTTTAACGATTGCGATGAGATGATAAAACTCAAACAAATAATCTTATTTTGAAGGGAAAGACAGGTAGTCTGATATGCTTATTTCTTTCAGTGAGTTGTTCGTTATTTCGTCCAAGTCTTGTGATATCTGGGAGCTCCCTAAAGGAAGCCTTAGTTTACAGAAGATAATTGGGAAAGGAATGTTTGGAGAAGTGTGGAAAGCAGTGGCTTTAAACAAGAATAAAAACAAAAATGGTGGTCTTAAAGAGCAAATAGTAGCTGTGAAAAAGCCCAAAGGTAAACAAACCCTATGATTTATAATCAGCATCAGTGAGATCGAAATGACTAATGCTTTTATCAATAGTTGTTTTACCATCCCCTTTACCAATATCTTCGCCACTAACATACAATGTGAACTTCACCACGACTAGCATCATCCCCACCGCCACAACCACTATTATCATCATCGATATTACCACCACCACCATCATACAATGTGAACAACATCCTCACCACCACCATCGCACACCAATATCACTACGACTACCACCATCCCCACCGCCACAACCACCATTATCATCATCACCACCACCACCATCATACAATGTGAACATCACCACCACCACTACCGAACACTAATCACCACGACTAGCATCAAAAATTTACCTCCACTGACCTGCTAATTTTATTCACCATTTGAAATATTATCGTGTTATGCTATAGATGACGCCTCCGACATTCAGAAAGAGATGCTGAAACAAGAAATCTCGATAAACAAAAATCTGACTGGCAAAAAACACAAAAACATCGTCAACTTCTTGGGTTGTTTCATCAGTGATGGTAACAAAGGAAATAGTCCAAATAGTTTTGTTGTATTATTTCATAGTAAGGGAAACGTTGGTCAATGATGGTCATGGAGTTCGTTCC